GCATGAAAACACCATCTCTCTTTCCACTCCCCCACCCTGTCTCTCCTAAAACCATCATATTTCTCACTTTTAAAGAGTATCTAGTGCTTTCAAATGCAAGCAGATTGGTTTTCTTGACGTGAAATGAAAGTTGGGAAGGTCAAGAATCCAGAGACAGAGTTTTTAGCCACAGCAATGCTCTGTTCATTCACATGAGCCCATGCAGGTCAGCTTAGCACCTTGAACTTTGTCTACTTGGTTCTGCCTTTCTTGCAATACTGGATACGGTGCCAGCAAATTCTTTGCAGCAACAATCTCCATCCTGACTTACCCTGGCACATTAAGAAACGTTATTTCAAAGGCCATCTTAATTTTTCGGAAGCCAAGTATAAATATTTTGTTGTCCAAGGATTTGTAGATATATCACATTTGTGGGCACTTCAAGGGAAGAGGTAATTTTCATTATAAGATTTAAGCATTTCCCTCCACCCTCCAACCTTCTGGACAACCTTTGGGACCCTCCTGAATTGGAAGCTAGGGCAACGAGGGCTATTAGCTGCTAAAATGAAGCCCAAATTTGAGTAATTAGAGGCAGCTTTTCAATCATTACAGAGACAAAATCTCAAAGCAGTACCAATTCCTCTATTAGATCAAGGCATTAAGTCCAGCAAGATCATAGATCCCCAAATCTCAGTAGGCCTGGCACATTTTGGCATTAATGGGATTCTACTTTGTTTGAGTGAAGATGAAACTTCATAGATTTCCCCATGAAACATGAATCTTAACTTCTAAAAAAAAACAAACAAACAAAAAAAACCCACAGCTATCTGGCCCAAGCATTGAAAAAAACCTTTTATATGCAGAAGAAGGTTACTGTTTTTGCAAACTGAATTTGACTTCATGGTACTGTCTAGACATAGCAAAGAATTCAATTCTCCCATAGCAATTTTCCAGTCCTACATTTAATGCAAATGTAGGATGTGTTTTAAAAGAACAGAAGAGAATATAGAAGCAAGGAATATGTCTAGTATTTAGAAAGCACCCAGTCAACCAGAAGTTTGTTTATTTTTCAATATATTTTACCTGGAATTGTTTTGTACAATATAGTAGTCACTAGGCGCACATGGCTATTTAGATTAAAATAATTAAAACTAAATAAAATTTAAAATTCAGCTCATCCATCACACATTAGTCATTTTTTTTACACCTGTGCTGTAAGACTAGTCATATTTGAAGTGCTGGGTAGCCACAAGTGAGTGCTGACTCCTGTAGCAAGCAGCACGGACACAGAACTTTTACATCATCCTAGAAAGTTCTATTGGACAGGGCTGCTCTAGAGATCATTTATCAACCTTATAGTCTCTATTCCCCATCTCAAATCACCCACCCTTGTTCTTCGATTGCCAAATAGAGTTTTCCCATCTCTCTCTGCCAGGAAGTAGGAAAGCCACTGTTTACTCTTGGCAAAGGGTGATAGAGTGACATAAACACCTAGGTGCCCCAGAGGGAATCGGTCCTCATGAGCATATGCCTGCCTTGTTAAAGCACTCACTAGGGAAAGGTAACGTGTCTTCAGATGCCTGGACCCACCTTAGTGCAGTTACAAATCACTTAAGTTAAGCCATTTCTCCTGAACCGTCTAGATGGATAATTCATTCTTTTGCAGGCTTGGTCTGAGTTCTGAGTTCAGATCTAGATGATGCCTTATGGGGGTCCCAGTCCCACTCCAATCCACCCACAGGCTATGATGATTATAGATTGTGACCTTGCTCTCAGCAGGTGAGAGCAAAGACCAGGTGTTATTCATCTCAGTGTTTCCAACGCCCAGCCAGGACATGGCGCGTGGAAAGCTCTTGTGATTGTTTTTCACAGAAATCAATCAGTTATGTGATCAATCAAGATGGCTCAGTTTTCCCAGGAAGGCTTTCACTAGTTATTCCTGCTGAGGCTTTGTCCCCAGGACGGTGATGTGCAAACCTCTCTGCACATCAGCATCATCTGGGGAGCTTTTAAAGCCTTTTAGTGCCAGGCTCCACCCTAGACCAACAGAAGCCAAACATCTGATAGCGTGGCACTGGCGGCAATGGTTTTGTAAAAAGCTCCCCCAAAGGATTACATTGTGCAGCCAGGGGTGAGAACCCCAGGAGGTTTCTGACGTGGCAGCTACAAATAAGTTTTATCTTTATTTTCACCCCAAGTCCCTTCTCATCCACTGTCATTTTTGGCTGCAAGAGTCACATGAATCTGGTTCTTACTCGTTACCTTACTCAGTTGTGGAACAATACAGTGTCCCCACTGCTCCAAAAAGAGATTTGGGGAAGATAATCTCCCTATGGAAACTGTATTTCAATGCCTTAATGAAGATTCAGGCTCAAACTGTATGGAAACAATGCAAGAAAATATCTTCTTTTAAATTCTCTTATTGGAAGCTTAAGCTGTGAGTGAAATGGACATCATGTTGAGTTTTTAAAGGCAGAGTACAAAGTTGCATACATGCCATGATAGGAAGTATGAAAGAATATAGCTGTAAGAAACAAAACAAAAAGTCTTTAAGATAAATAAATTAAAACTCTAGTGGTAATTCTGGGTAAAGCAAAAGTCGGGGGTGTGGGGAGACTAGGGAGTGGCTCATCAGGGCCCACCCGTAAGACTCCACTAGGGAAATGTGTGCTCATTGGCTAGAAGGGTCTCCCCACTGGCTGGAGGAAGTACACTGGGTGTCACCAAAGGGTGTCCCAGACAGGAGGAAAGAGCTCTGAGCAATCACCCAGCCAGGGCCAGAAGAGTAAGGGCTCCACAGTACCAAGTACAAAAGATATGGAAAAAGATGACCAGGCGAGACTGCAGCCAGGACCCAGATGAAAGGAAGAAGATGGAATCGAGAATGGATCGAGGGGTGCAGGAGTGAGGCTGGGAAGCCTAGGAAGAGCTGGTGAGCCCTTCACACAGGCTCTGGCTTAGGTGGAGGTAGTTTCTAAAGAGGGGCCTCTGGCAAGATTTTTGTTTCTTCTTCCTCTTTCCATCTCCAATACCATGTAATAACAGTTTCCTAACCTTAAAAAATGTATGCATATGTATTGCTACAGTAAGCAAATGGCAATACACAAATAGGATGAGATGATACTAATAGTAGCTACTATTTCTTGAGCATCTGCTATGTGCTAAACACCAGACAAGACTTTGTGCTCACATCTCAGCTAATCTTCTCAATAAACCTGATATGATGCCATCATTACCGACCCTACGTTACAGATGAGAAAACTGAGGCTAATCAATGTGTCTAGGGTCATGTGGTCAGCACGTCCATGGCCTGGTGGGGCCAGGACTTGGTCCATCTCTGTGTCACTCCATAGAGATACATTTGTTCACCTCTGCAGACCAAGCTTCACCTGAATTCACGGAAATCACCTCATCACACCTCAGCTCCACGCTGCACCAAAGGCCACCTCTTCCGTCACCAGGGAGGTGACAACAGGCTCACGCTGACAGTGGTTATCCTCCCACATTTTCATTATATGGGACATGGTGGGGGTTTTTATGAGATTCTACCACGGGCTGTTTTTCAAATTTATTTAATTCATCCATCATGCTCTGAAGCCATTTGCTTTTTTATATTGGACAGATGTAATGAGATTTTGGACACTAAAAAATGTTTTTATTAAAAGTTATGACCCTGAGCTAGTTGGTAGGGGCTCGGCCATAAATCCCTAGGAGTGTGTGAATTTATAAAGGATGTAGCGATATAACCTTAACCTTTTAGGCCACGCCATACATTACAGGATCGCTAAGACTAATACTGTCTCCCCACCGCTCCCCATCTCAGGCCAAATAATAATAATGGTAATAATTTATGTGGTTATTTGATGCGGCAGTTTTTCCTCTTTCTGTAGCCACGGTTGAGTCATGGTGAGCCAGTGCCTCGTGGAAACAGGTGGTTGGTGGTTGGCCTGAAAGCCCTGCCGTAGTGGATGGGGCCACATTGGTTCCCTTGCTCTGCTCGGCATCCTCTAACTAGGGATAAGGGACATAGTGGTCCCCTTTTCTACAGATCGGGTGAAAGTGATTTCTGGCAAATGAGCAATATTATGAGGCTATGGGTGACAGTTTCTCCACTCCTCCTTTGCCAACACCAAGCTGTCCTCCAAATTAGGAAACGGTGCAATCATTCCTGTTCATGCATAATAACTCCCTTTTAATGTTCATTTTAGCAGATTTATATTAATGTTAAACTACTTGGAAATCATCCAGATCAGCTTGTACACACAGACCAAAACATGATCATTAAAATATACGTGTACATTAGATATAGATATATATTACCAGCAATATGTAATACAAACCATAAAACAGAAAGTTTACCAAACAGATGTGGCCCACTGCCAGCTCCTTTGCAAGCATGCATTCGTTCATGTATCTCTGAGCACTGCTATGAGCCAGCTTCTCTGTGAGCTGCGGAGGATGCAGTAATGAAGGCTGCACGGTCCCAGAAAATCCAGGGGATGACTTTCAGCTCAGAAGATCAAGGAACGCTTCCTGGAGGAGGTGGCTTTTTCAGCTAAGTTTGAGGGGTTTGGTGAGCATTGCGCTTGCAGAGGTGAGAGGACGAGCATTTCAAGCAGAGAGAATCACCTGAACAAAGGCACGCACAAAACGAGCTGTGCACGGGCTACTCCAGACAGTTTAGTCTGGCTAAAGCGCATGATAACAAATTTTCCCTTCTAAAAGAAAAATCTCAAGTGTAAACATCATGCTCTTATCTCCAGCCACTGCCAGTGTCTGTAACTGCAGGGTAATGTCTGTGATTGCAAGAAGATGGACATTAAACTTACAAAGTCACCGCAGCAGCATTTCCTAATCAGATCCATGTTTTATCATCTGCTCGTGCTGGAAACATATTCCAGGATTTTCACGGACAGCCGAGACCGGGGGAGTGTGAATCGTAGATACCGTCGTCATTAAACTCATAAATCCATGTCATTTGTGTGTCATTCACCTCATCCTCATCCATCATCCCGTTTCAGAATGGCCCTTCGTTTGAGGATTTTGAGGAGCGGTTTGCTGCGGCCACCCCGGTAAGAGTGAGGGGGCTCTGTCTGGTTAACTGTTTCATGTCACTGTCCCATCGTTCATTCCATACTCATCCGTCGTGCCTTGTGGTTACAGAACAGAAACCTGCCCGTGGACTTTGATGAGATTTTTGAGGCAACAAAGGTAAGGCTTTGAGGTTCTTGTTGAACAAGGGTGTTCTGCTCATTCTCGTGCCTTCCATGCTATCCTCATGCCCCTCCCATGAACGACGAACTCTCTGCTCTGCTCCTGTCCGAGCCCATTCTGATATTCCCAGGATGCTACTATTGGTGGCCCTGCCATGAAGTCATATTGTGAGTGTGCATGTACAGACGTGTGTGGGTGTGGGTGTGGGTGTGGATGGATGAGAGTCTGGTTGGAGAGGAGGTGACTCCCTATCTTTTCATTTGACAGATATTTTCCAGGCCTCTACTATGTCCCAGGCGTTCTGATAGATGCTAGAGGTGCAGTAAAGACACAGTCACTGCCCCGAGGAAGCTCGTAGCAATAACATAGTGCAGCATTGCACAGGATAAGATGCAACAGGATTGCCTCGCCTAGCCTAGCATAGTGCAGTATAACAAAATAGAGTAGGAATTCGGATGCATAAACAGGATGTGTGTGCCAAGTACACCACTGGGCATAATAAAATAGACAAGACTGCTCTTCAGTCAGCATACCCTGGTATATATGTGCTGGTTGCAGCTCACGTTTGTTCAAAATGATTGATGCACAGGCCAGTGACTGTTATCACCCCTGAATACAGGGTTCTGGGAAGCCTCAAGGTCCAGGGTCCTCAACCTCAGCAGCAAATTAGAATCACTTGGAGAGCTTTCCAAGTTCCAGTGACTAGGCTATACCCCACACCAGTTAATTCAGAATTTTTAGGGGTAAGAACAAGGCACCAGTATTCTTTCCCCATGTGATTTCAGTGTGCATCCGAGGTTGGGAACCACTGATCTGGGAGTATCATGGGCAATGGGATGGGGGATGGAATTAAGTTCCAAGACACTTCCCAGAAGGAAAAAACAAACAAAAAAGTCTTCTACTTTATGCCCTGAAGGATGGCTGGGAATGGTAGTGGGGGAAGGAATAAGTGCTCTAGGTAGGAGGAGTAGCATGTGCAAAGGCCCTGAGGTGGCCTCTTCTTTCATAGCCCTCTGTGCTGCTCTCCTCCATAAGACTGCATTGAATTGTATCTGTGTGTCTGTCTTTGCATAAAACAGCCAGCTCGTGACAATAGAAACAGGAGTGTGCCTTACTCGTCCCTGTATCCTCTGCTCTTGGCACAGTAGCTGATGCACAGTGGCACCTTCAGAATCTCTCTAGGAAGGGCCTGGGGGTCTAGCTGCAGCAATGTCATTGAAAAAATGACCAGGGGACTAATCTTGAACCAGGTATTACTGGGAAGCCATCAGTTGTTCACCTCAAAGAATGGCAGGGGAGGGGACAGGCCTGGAGGAGTTACTGAGGGGCCACCCTCTGAATATCTAAGCTACTTCTTATCTCCGACACTGACCTTGGCAGCTTCCAGTGTCACTCTTCTTACCCCTAAAAATGCCCAGGGGCCTAAAGAAGGGGCGAAATCTGCCATCTCCAGTTCCCTCACTCTCTACCTGAAGACATTTGAAATGCCAGTGGTGGAATGGCTTTTGTCTGTGGTGACATTCCAAATGACCTCAAGTACATCAGGGCAGACCTCTTAGGAACCCTGGCTAGAGAACATGGTAGAGCTGGAATTCCACCGTTTAGCAAGGCTGACAAGGGTTTGGTAAAGTGATGGATAAACAAGATGTTGGTGGGTGTGTGGGTCAAGTCCATCCTAGCTGCTTTTAGCTGACGGATCATAGCCGAGTCATTTAACCTCAGCCTCAGTCAGTCACCTTTAAAGTAGAAGGAGTGACTGCAAGGCCTGTGCAGCCAGCTCTGTGGGGCTTGATGAGTATCATGCGCGATGATAAGCTATTTGAAAATGCATTACAAACTATAAAGTGTTCTGCAGATGTGAATTGTTACTTTTATTCTCTTGGGCCCCTTAAAATGATTTATTAGGACAATATTATCAGATGGAACATGGTTTATTAGGTTACAAATAAAAGAACTGGGGTTAACATGGGGAGGAGGCCTGTGAAAATAGATACTATTCCAGACTCTCAATCACATATGGTTATTAGTATTATTTTTAATTTAATGGCCCAAGAATCCTCTTTTTCTATAAAATTTAATTAACTCAAGGTTCTATTTAAACAGCAAGTCCAATGGAATGAAATAACAATCTATGTTTTATTCCTCTGCATGTTTTTCTCGTTTAATCCTTGAGTGAAAATCATCTGGCAAAAGGAAAGTCTATAGCTCAAGAATGAAGGTTATTTTAAAAGTTGTGCTTAAGGAGAAAATTAGCCAATAAATTATATTTATGATGTTAGTAAAAGCATGCCATGAGTTCAACACATTTGAAATGTAAATTGTGCGACTTAATTATTAACTTCATTTTAATATTTTCCTAACGCTGAAAATGGTTGTGGGCCATTTTAAAAGCGTCTGCTTCCAGTCCCGAGGAAGCCCAGAAGCTTCGTTTGAATTGATTAAATAGAATTATTCCTTTTATGAATTTTGGAGAGAGTCCTAAAGGCCTGGCATAGTTTCACCAAATAATATAAAATATTGGGAGCATGCTTAAAGATGCCTTACCAAAGAGAAGCATTTCAGGTCTAGCCAGGTTTGGGAGAGGACCTGCCACCTCGTCCCCATGGGCTGCTGGACTGTTGTTCTAAGACAGAGAATCAAGTTACTTAGGAGTTGGTGGAAAAGACTGAAATGCACACAAGTCCCACCACAACCTTGCCCCCGTGTACCCCGACAGCCCCCCTGTCCTCCCTTTGTGTTGCTAATACCACAGCCTCCATTCCCACCTGTCCACGCTGGTCCAGACCCCTGGCCTTTGCGCTCATGCAGTTTCATCTGCCAGGTTGCCCTCCTCTTCCTTGCGAGCTGACTGCTTCCTCCTCCCCTTCAGGATTCAAATCTGGCCATATCCTTTAGAAGATCTTCACTAAAGGCAAAAAGTGGCTGGACCCCCCTTCCAGTGCTCCCATAGCACCCCAGAGAGTCCTGTGTCCATATTCATGATGCATTACCTTAAAATGATCTGCATCTATGGATTGGATTGTCAAACCCACCAGACCATAAACTCCCTGCAGGCTGTTTCTTGGCATTTCTCATTATGATGTTCCCAGCGCATAGAACAGTGCCCAGCACCCAACAGTTCCTCGGTGTTTATGGAAAAAATACCATGTAGTTGGGGAGGAAGTTAATACTTACAGAGCCTTACTGTGTGCCAAGCACGATTATTCTATCTGCAAGTTCAACAGGAAGGAAGAGCTGAAAGTGAGTTAACAAGGCTAAGCTACTTTCCATTCAGCAAAAAGAGCCTTTCCTGCCTTTTTAACCAGGCTTAACCAAACTTCAAAGAAATTCCTGCTGTTAATGTCATCAATAAATCTGCAGAGGAGATATTATCATCTCCACTGTCCAGATGAGGGAACTGCAGCTCCAAGGAGTTACAGATATTGGTAGTGGTAAAACCCAAATATATCCCCAGGTGTGGGACCTTCCCAGAGCCCAAAGCTCACTCGCTTGTCAGGAGGAAAGAACATTCCTTTCATCGTGTGATTCCTGGAGGTCCAGCCACAACCCGGTTAGAGCAGAGTCTGAGTGCAGGGGACCTGCACAGTGGGGCAGTCGGACTCTCCCTGTCCCTCCTGTTAAGTGGTGTTTTTAGGTTTCTCCAATTCAAAGCTATCACTAAGATCTGAAGATGACGGAAAAGTGTCTTTCCCCTGTGGGCAGGTTTGCACAAAGCATGCAATTGCACACTTCTCGTAATTGAGTCAAGCCACATGCTCCCTGCAGTCTCTGGAGCTGGCGGTGTATGCAGATTAATTTCTAAATGTATCTTAAAGGGTTTCTTTAGCTGCCGTGACTGGTCTTGCTCAGACACTCCTGCATGATGGATGGGGAGAGAGATGATGCAGTGTCTGCTGTGATGGAGTTCCTAGGAATGATTAATAGTGTATACACTGGGCTGTTTTTGATGCCCTTCCTGGCATTAAATGAAATGTTTTCTTTTCCTCCAACTACATTTTTTATCCTAAGGATGGACCCTTTAGAGACTACCATGTGATTGCATTCTCTATATTAAGAAAATTCAAATCCATGTCTGGGTGACCTTGATGTCACCTTCATGAGACTCAGTTTATTCATCTGCAGAGATGGGGGCGGTGATCCCCCTCTCGGGGTCGCTGTTACTGGGAGCCCTGACTGCGCAGTGACCGTGAAGTCCCGGCTCGCTGTGCTTACGCACGGAAGGCATCTTGCATGGGTGGACACATCCATGCGAGAAAAACCAGTGACGGGACGGCCTTCCCGCCTCTCCTCCTGGAGGAGAGAGACAGTGCCGGCATCTGATGGTGAATAAGTGTGGAGCGGTATTATCAGTGCTTATGGGAGATAGCTAAACCACGCCTGGATAAACAGCCAGACACAGTGGAGCAGTAGTTGACTCTGGCCCCATTCAAGATGCTGCCTTTGGGATCATGAGGCACAGTCATGACCACCCCAGTGTGTGGTTTGTTAGTCGTGATGAAAAAGGGAGATGCTTATCCCCATATCAGACTGTTTTTTAAACGGTGCCCGGCAGCATTAGCTTTCCTTGTGGTTACATGGTTGCCTTTTTGTCTTTTCAGGCTGTGACCCAATTAGAACTTTTTGGGGACATGTCCACCCCCCCTGATATAACCTCTCCCCCCGTAAGTATGCACCGCCCTCCTGATCCCTGTTGCCCTCCCCTCTCTGTCCTCACCCCGTACGTGGCCAGAGTATGGGCTTTGGGTGGAAGAGGCCTGCTGGTGGGTTTCGACTCTGGCTCTTTTAAGCTGTGCGACTTGGGCAAGTGAACCAGGAATTTTGACCTTTAGCATTCTCTGCTAGTATAAAAGAAGGAATTATGATGCATGCCTCTGTTTTGAGAAATAAGTGAGATCACGCATTCAACAATTGCAGGACCTTGCCTAGGTGCTTGCTGTCCTGCCGGGCTCTGAGAAGGGACTCGAATGAGATGTGGCTCCTGCCTACATGGAGCTCACGTGGTCTGCTTGGGAATATGGGCAGGAAACTCCACGGGAAAGCACACATGCTGAGGCATTTGTCAATACCTAGCCCAAGCCCAGCAACAGCGTAGGTGATCAGCACAGGAAAGGAAGCAGCTTCCCCTGCACCCCCTCTGCCCTTCCCTGTCTCCTCCTTTGCTTCCTTTCTCTGTCCCCTGTTTTGCGTCCTCCCTCCTTTCCCACCTGCCTCTAGCTTTGCAGACTGTGACCTGGGCCTCACTGAGCTTCTCAAGAAGCTCTGGATTCCCAGCCACACCTTCAGCCAGGGTATCTCGGTCAAGGCTTGCAAGAGGCCAGAGATTGCCGGGAGCTCTAATTTGAAAATGAAATGAAGAAAACAATTAAAACCAAAGCAAAATGGAATCCCAGTTCTGGACACATCCCAAGGCAATCCTGCAGCCACTACAAAGAAAAGTACTGAGATGTCCCCTCCAGCCCCTCCATGCCTCCCTGCCCATTCCCAGCGGTGGGCAGAGCGCAGTCAGCTGCAGCTGTAGCAGCTGAAGCGTCTGGGAGGGGACAGCTCCTCTGGGCACTGCACAGTTGTGCGAACCACGGGATGGGGCCACGGTTCATTGGCAAGATGCGCCTTGCAGAGAAAAGGCTATGACCTCACCACTGAGGACAGATGGCATGAGACCCTGCTGCCCACAGCTGCCGCAGAGAGATCTAGGCACAGCTGCCCTGCTCCCAACACCTGATGTTCAGAGCAGCCTTGAGGGAGGGGCTGCAGCTTCTGTCCCCAGGGAAGCCAGACAGCCCTAGTAATTCTCATTCGCTCCTGCACCCTGAGGATAACAGCTTTACCCTGGGAACTCAGAATTGCAGAACTGCAGGGCTGTGCAGCTAGAACGGGCTGAAGAGATCCTCTAACCTTGTCCCTTTCGTTCTACAGATGAGCAAACTGAGTCCCAGAGAGGACACATGACTCACCCAGGGTCAGGGAGGGCAAAAGAGAACAGCGCTGACTGTGTTTAAAAGTGCTTAACACAGCAGCTCATGGCTGTGTTTCTGGCCCTGAACCCCGGCACAGTCCAAACGGGTATTTAATAGTCCTTAGAACAATGCCATTCGTCCTGCAAGCTGCTAGTCTAAAAATGGCCTTGTCTAATTGCCATGGTTTCAGGATTAATTGCTTGCCCCAGCCTATTCCAAGGAGAAAAAAAAAAACGGATATTATGGCATTGAATAGACTTATACTCTGTAGACAAAAGCCTGCTGTACACGGGTGTGGATGTAAAAAGACGATGTGTACAGGACCCCTACCTTGCCCTTCCATTCATCCACAGAACCTTCTGGAATTCTAGCATGGGCCAAACACTGCAGAGTTTTTAGCTGTGCAGGCATTGTTTTTTGTTGTCTTCTTGAAAATATTTACATCTTTTTGCAAATGAAGATTTGGGCAAAATTCTGGAAGGCACCAGGCTAAAAGGATCAATCGGTGCTCCACTTGCTAAGCTTCATTTGCTCATTTAGTCAACAACTCTTTATTGACTGCATGTCAAGTGACAGGCCCTGAGCCAGGCACATAGTAGGTCTTTAGTGAGTGTATTTCAATTTGAATTGACCACTTCTAATGAGTGAAAGCCAGATATTGCAGAAAATTTGATAGCCTAAAAACACCCCCCAGGGGTTAGGGGCTCAAACTTAATCTTTATGGTACTGGCCATTGTTTACTGAGCACCTAATATATGCCTATGCAGGGTGCTAAATAATTTAAGTAATATAAAATATCATTTAAATCTATGATTTCATTTTATCTTCACAGCAGCTCTAGAGGTATCATTTCCCCCATTTTATAGAGAAAAGTGTATGTAACAAGCCCCTAGTCTACACACCACATAAGTGGCCTGGACCGTGGCCACCTTCTACGACCCCTGCCCCATTAATTCCTGTGCCTGATGGCTTGTGTGCTTGATGACTGCAGAACCGGGTCTCACGTGTCCTCTGCCTCTCTCTGTCTGGCAGACTCCTGCAACTCCAGGTGATGCCTTTATCCCATCTTCATCTCAGACACTTCCGGCGAGTGCAGATGTGTTTAGCTCTGTACCTTTCGGCACTGCTGCTGTACCCTCAGGTAAGCCCTCTGCCACCCGCTTCCCTTCCTTCAGCCTCCACGCATCAAGAGACAGAAAGGGTTTACTGAACTAGCTGCCAAATTATGCCAGAATACCTGTGGAGCCACCATTCCCTCCTGCCACCCTTCTGGTGACATTGAGAAGCTGCCATCTAGAGGGGTGGGGGTGGTGGGGTCCAAAGCTCTTGTCTGCTGCTGGCTGGAATTCAGTGGTGTCTTTCACCTGGAGAGTCCAAGATCCCAGGTTACTCAGGGGTGTAGCTTTTTGGAGCATGGCCTACAACAGCCATGCAGATCCGTTTCCTCCCGTCCACCCCGGCCAGGGGGAGAGAAAGCGGTGAGCAGGGGAGGAGATAGAGTCAGCTCCCCACAGACCTCTTCAGACCCGATGGATAGACGGCATCCGGCTCATTTGGTGCCGACTTGAGGAAGAAGAGGTTCCCCAGACAAAGGAGGAAAATCCTGTGGGATAACAACAAACTGCCAACAGTGAATTGGGAGGGTGATGGGATTCTTAGCGATTTGAAAGTGTTTGTTCTGTGTTTCAGATATTCTTTAAAATGTAAATACTATTTTACAACAGAGACAAAATGTGTATAGTCACAGTATTACAGGTGCATTACAGATGGGTGGGTCCCTGGGATGTTACCTTGTTTCCATGGCGTTGGTCACTCCGCGTAGCCGGGCCACTCACTTGGAAAGAGTTAAAGGTGATATTTGTTCTGTTTTTCACATACATGGGAACCTTAAGGAGTCTTGTGTTTTCCTTTTACTACATATTTGAAATCTGTGGCTTTATCTTTCTCAACTTTATTCTCATAAATGGCAAATGGAGTTTGAATATTTTACAATACAAATCTCCCTGCAATTTTTTCTATAAATAATTACTTCTAATTGCATAGTGTTAGAAGCAAATTCTTGCCACCAAATATAAATCTTGCTTTTTATTCAAAGTAAATTAAAAATTCATACCCTGTTCTAAAATAGTTATAGTTATTCCTCATGAACCAAGGGATCATTATGAACTTCTAGAAGCAACAAATGTTGGTAGCCACTAGATCTAACTGTGTGGTCTGCAACCCCCAGGCCACAGCCTGGTACAGTCTATGGCCTGTCAGGAAACCAACCACACATCACTGCCTGAGCTCCACGCCATGCCCTCCCCAACCCCTGACTCCCTAACCCTCAACTCCCAGTCCATGGAAAAGTTGTCTTCCATGAAACGGGTCCTTTGTGCCAAAAAGGTTGGGGACCTCTGATCCAACCTACAGTTTAGACTCTGCAGGTAGTCTAGAAATGTATTCTATTGCTAAGCTTCCCAATCTAATCTGCCCCTAATACAGGATAGTGGCCATGACTAGTTTTCTTTACCTAAAGTAGATATTCAAATCTCCTTGGGATTAGTGTGATAAAATATGTCATTTTAAATAAGGATAACGGTTTTCTGTCAGAAATTCACCACTCTCTATGCTTTTTCAGTCTGTTCAAAATACCGATGCTTTGTCCCCTTTGTGTTATCTGTAAAGATGATGGGAACTTAAGGCCCACACCTACTAATTTGCAGCCATGTTCATTCCACAGTGTTCACTGGGTGCCTACTATGTGCCAGCTCCTGCTCTAGGTGCTTGAGGTGTGTCACTGAATGCAACAGACAGAGAGCTTACCAGCTACTGGGGACACAGGAAGTAACATGAAAATTAGAAACTTGTGTAGTATGTTAGGAAACGAGAAGTGGCCTGGACAAAAGGAAATGCAGAGCAGAGCAGGGTGTGGGCTCCAGAGGCCAGGTGCTAGTGCAGGCTGTGGTCAGGAGAGAGGCTCTGGCCAGGTGAGGAGCAAGCAGACTGGAGGGAGGAGCAGGAAGTCACAGCAGATGTCAGAGTTCAGGGTTTTTTCAGGCGAGGAGTGACTGGGCACACCTCATCTCCACCCCTTCTCTATAAACAAGAGGTTTGTACTAGATGCAATCTTGCATCTCTGCCAGCCCTAACTGTTCATTCAGAGCACCCTGAGGACCTGCCCGGGCCAGGCCCAGCACTGCTCTGGGCCTTCTTCCAAGCCTGTGCCAGGTTAGGGGCTTGAAAGACCAGGGTTTTGGTCCTGCAACTTAACCAGCCCTGTTACAAACGGTAGACAAGCCATTTCCGCACATCCAAGATTTGCTTTCTTCAGCGGTTAAAAAAAAATGAAATAGATAGATTATCTCCAAGATTTAAAATTTCAGAATGTGAGTCTAAAATTAATTTCAGTTAGCATAGTTTTGCTTTCTTACCAACAATAACAAAAGTAGGCTTTGATTGGTGTTAAACTGTGTGCCCTTTTCCTCCTTTAACTGGCCTTAAAAATCTCTGCAGCTGTTGAATCTCCATCTCTGTGTCACTAATTGTCCAGCCAGTGAGAGAGAGACAGGGAAATGAACCGGGGTGTGCAGTATGATGGGTGGGCTAGCTGCTGGGGGCTTTGGAATTTAGCGGGCTGAGTTTGAATCCTGGTTCAGCCATTTATCTATAAGCTTTAGACTCCTGGGCAAATTACTCAACCTGTCAGAGCCAGAGCTTCTTCATCTGTATAACTGGGTAGAAAATAATACTTACCTTGCAACAATATCGTTAGAATTAAATGAGAAAATAAAGTTAAGTGCCTTGAAAAATGCTGGTACATCGTAGATACTTGTGGAGAGTACTGCTATTATTATTATATTATTCTCATTTCTAAAGTAGAAGAAAATATGTCCCATCCTGCCTATATTATTTTTTCTTTATTTTCCATTTTTTAAAAAATGCATATAATAAAGCTCAGGTCTTCGGTCTCTTGAATGCTCATGGCAGAGGTAGCTGGGTGTCCTGGCGAATGTACTATGTGTAAATATAGGATCTGCCACCAACCAGCTGCATAATATTCAGCCTCAGGCAACTTGCCTGTAAAATGGGGATGATCACAATTCTACCTCGTAGAGCTGTGCTGAGGATTGCCTGAGTAAATCCATTCAGTAAGACATTTGTAACGGTATCTGGCAGTGTTTTTACATAAGTAAGCACTCAGCAGACGTTAGCTACACAGTCCGTCAGTAGTCCTGCATGTGCTGTCCAAACACTGCGTGGCCGTGACAAGTCTTGCCCTCATGGAGCTGCAAGTTCTCATGCACACATTAAAGAGAGAGCAATCACGGCTCCCCTAGATGCTTGCTGTGAGCATCAGCTTCACAAAAATGTCAGCTCCACTAGGGCAAGCATTATTTTTTTAACTGTCTTGTTCTTTGCTGCAGCTCCAGAGGCTGAAACAGTGATTGGCACCTAGTAGGGATGTTTTTGAATGCATCAGTCAATCAAACGAGAGATGATGTGGGCAAGAGCTGCCATACAAGTTTCATATACATGTTGGAGGCGTCCTTTAGTTTTCACTGTTTTTCTTCTATTTCAGTCTGCTTTTTGTTTTCTTTTTTTCAAATAAGGGGGGTATCCCCAGGTGCCAGCATCTGGTTATAAATGACAGTTTTCATCATTTTTTTTTTTAAAAAATCTAGCTGCAAGGCAGCAATGCAGGCGTTCCTTTCACCTCATAGCCAGGAGATGTGCGAGTGATCTGAACTCCATGGCGTAAACAGATGCTCCTCACCACCCCCTCCCTCTACTGTCGAACATTAATAGCAAACAGTTAATAAGCTGTTAAGTGGCTGCAGTGGCAGCCACCAGACAGCTCCCCATGTCCAGTGCAACCGCAGTCCTGCCACTGAGGTGCCCAGGCGTGCACAGGCCACATGGTCAGAGATCCTTCGCTCACAGGCTAGGGGGAGCCCGGGCTGCAGGGACCTCCTAGGCACAGGGAATGAGACCTGCAAGCTCTCAAACATGACACCCAATTACCCTGTGCTACCTGCTTTTCCTTTTGAATATTGTACTTTGGTCTGGAGCAGATGGCATGAAGCCAGAGAGACATGCTAATAGCTCTCTCCAGAAAAGTGTGCACAGCCCATCTGTTAATGCCTTGTGAAGAAGAAAAAAAAATGATGGGAGGGGGAAAAAAAAAAAACCTGCCACCAACAGTATAATCATCAGAGATCACAGCACTTATGGATCTTGGAGTTTAATTGTGCTCTTGGAAGAATGCAGTGAAGGCATTGATTTCTCTGACTTGTTCACCTTGGTGTGGGGCCTTTCTCCAGGCCCAGGCATCTATGGAGCTGTTGATGTGTGCCAAAAGCAGTGCTAGGCAGAGAGGAGAGACAGGAAGTAAAGGGTTCTACCAGCAGGTGGTTTCTAGTCTCACAAGGGAAGACAGAATAACTAGGCAATTACAAAGCAGTGTGACAAGTGTCATGCTAGAGGTGAGCACAGGGGACTGTGGAAGCCCAGAGAAGGACCAACGGAGCACATAGGGCAGGGAAAGCATCCAGCAGAGATGATGGGAAACTGAATCCCAAAGAGCAAATAAGGGCCAGCCATGTGAAGAAGCAGGAGGTGTCTTTCCAGGCAAATGGACCCGCAGAGACAAGAGATGGTAGGTTGCGTATTAATGTTTGCAACTTCTGGCGACCAAGGTGCCAGTGAGGAAGCCAGCTGAAGACGGGGATAAGGAGGTGGGAGGGGCTGACCCCCAAGTGCATGTGAGCCAAGCTGAGGCATCTGAGCCTTATATTCAAGACCAGGAAGCACCATATTTGCATGTTAAAACAGTCCTCGCTGTCAATGAGGAGGGTGGAATGGAAGCAAAGCGAAAGGCAGGCTGGTGGAAAGTGAAGCCACCCACCCATTCATCAAAACAGCATCAGGCTCGGGTGGTTGAAAGATCCATGGAGAGGTTTCCACCTCTCAAACCCAGGCACCCCTTCTTATCACAAATATTTCCAATATCCCATTTAATGTCTTGAAATGAAATGCCTAGATGACATAGCCTACCTACACAGTTTTTCAAAAATTAATATGATGTTCTAACTGAGCCATATCAATGTAAATCAGAAAATAAGGAAAACAGAGTTGCAGAATCCACCACCTGTTGGTGTATTTGTCACTACATTGTTCTGTGATAGGCAATGCAAGGTAAGCAAGTTTCAGGTATGAAGTGTGAGTCCAGTGTCTCTTCACACCTTTCTTTGGAGCAGATAGGCTAAGTCTGTGGTCCCCAATCCCTGGGCCAAGGACCAGTACCTGTCCGTGGCCTGTTAGGAACCAGGCCACACAGTAGGAAGTGAGTTGTGGTGAGCTAGCAAAGAAGCTTCATCTGTGTTTACAGTGCTCCCCATTCCCCCAACCCTGGTCCATGAAAAAATTGTGTTCCATGAAATTTGGTCCCTGGTGCCAAAAAGGTCGGGTCTGCTGACTAAGTGATCTGAAAATATATTCTCTATGTTGTTTGTTGGCATTGCTGCCTTATTCCACAAATGCATTTAATATTGCTGGATTACTCAGCAAGAGCCCATGTGTCCTGCCTGTGCCCCTTCTGTGCCTCCTCTCAGGGCAGCAGGGCAGGGGGGGATAATCTATGCACCTTGCAAGGAAATGGCCAGGCCTTGAATGTCGGCTCTAGGCCTCATCATCATCAGTCAATTGAAGTCAGGTGGGTCTGTGACTGGAGCTTGGAGTGAGACCCCCTCCACCCCATTTCTCTGGGCTCGCCAAAGTCACTGACATGACCCATGGTGTGATCAATGCCACTATGTCCACTTATCATCCCTGTGGAAGTTGCTGGGACACTCTGCATCCATTCCTCCTTCCTTCCTGGTCTCAGTGCACTGCACCTGCAAGTTCCCACTGACAGCCATGCAGATGCTTGTTCTGAGAGGCCAGGCAAAGCTAGCCCCCTATTCTCTACTCTGTCTGGACTGGTACGTTGTCTCTCAGGATCGACTGCACATGCAGGTGGTCACTGTGCACCCTGAAACACATGGAAGTTTCCTGCGGGCCTGCAGCGTGCTAAAACATCCCATGCCAGGCAAGATCCATCGACTGCAAAGATCAGAAATTGGTATAGGACATCTGGGTGAGGCAGTGAGTGGCACAAAGGAAAGAACACTGGCTTTGGGGACAGACAACCTCAGTTTGATCCTGGTCCTACCTCGTGCAACCTATATGACCCTAAGCAAGTTGCTGTTCTTCTCTGAGTACCAATTTCCTCATCCCTAAAATGGATATAATAATATCTACCCTGCAGGGATTTTGTGAAGGTGTAAAACCTAACAGTGTACCTGGCATGTTGTAGGCATTTAATAATTGGAACGATTATTATAACAAATGTCAATTGTGCTCCTGTTAAAAGGTATATGTCTTGCCTGAAAAGGACAATACAGTAAACAAGTATCATAGTAATATATGTAAATCCATGCCCTGCAGTTTTATAGTGCCCAACCTGTACCACTATATAGGCTACCCCTGACTGGACAATAACCTTCATTTTTTTTTTAATTCTCTAAAATTAGAATTATAACAATGCAGAAATAATGCATATTAAAATCTCTAGCTACCATGTATTACATGTCTGTTATATACCAAGCAAGGTATTAAGTACTCTGTAGAATCTATCTGATCCAAATCATACTATTTATTAATAGTAGCTAACATTTACTAAACGTTCACTCTATGTCAAGTGCAGTACTCCACACCTTAACTGTGTAATCTCAATCTTCAACACAATGAAACAGAAGGTATTATTTTGTGCCCATTTTTCAGATAGAACCTTAGAGAAGTCAAGAGGGACTCCCCAAATGACATAGATAAGAAGTGGCAGTTTGAATTTTCAACCTTGGCCTCTAAAACCCCAACATTCAGATTCTTATTCACTTTGCACACTGCCTCAGTGCGGACAAGGAAGCCATCGTAACCTGGCTTTACAGCAAGGAGACCGAGTCTTAGGGAGCGTAAGCAATCGAGAAGGTTCCAAGTGTGGGAGGATGAGGCGAAGAGCCAGGCCTGCCTGCCTCCCAGTCTTCTGCCCTTTCCCTGAGACACACAGCTCCAGAGGCCATGAGATTTGCAGAAACCTTTAACAACTGTAGAAATGTTATCATCATTATCCACCAGATGTCTGCATGGCTTGCTCCCTCCCTGCATTCTATTAATAGTTTCTTACCAATCACTTCCTTGGAGAGTTTTTTCCCTGACCACTTCCCATGAGAGCAGGGGCTTTTGTCTTATTCATCTTGGCGTCCCCAGGCCCCGGCACGCAGGGCTGGCGCTTAGTAGGTGCTCCACACGATTTTGTCAGTTACTCCAATCCCTGAATCCTCCTTTCCAGGACACCTGACTCTCCTTTCCCGCCCTCGCAGGTTATGTTGCAATGGGCGCCGTCCTCCCATCCTTCTGGGGCCAGCAGCCCCTCGTCCAGCAGCAGATGGCCATGGGTGCTCAGCCACCAGTCGCTCAGGTGATGCCGGGGGCTCAGCCCATCGCATGGGGCCAGCCGGGTCTCTTTCCTGCCACTCAGCAGCCCTGGCCCGCCGTGGCCGGGCAGTTTCCGCCAGCCGCCTTCATGCCCACACAAACTGTTATGCCTTTGCCAGCTGCCATGTTCCAAGGTCCCCTCACCCCCCTTGCCACCGTCCCAGGCACGAGTGACTCCACCAGGTCAAGTCCACAGACCGACAAGCCCCGGCAGAAAGTGGGGAAAGAAATGTTTAAGGATTTCCAGATGGCGCAGCCTCCGCCCGTGCCCTCCCGCAAGCCCGACCAGCCCTCCCTCTCCTGCACCTCAGAGGCCTTCTCCAGTTACTTCAGCAGAGTCGGGGTGGCGCAGGACACAGACGACTGTGATGACTTTGACATCTCCCAGTTGAATTTGACCCCTGTGACTTCTACCACGCCATCGACCAACTCACGTGAGTGCCCTTCACCGAAGACGTCACACCCAGGGAGGGTGGCGCCCCTTTTCTGTAGATGGGGGTCCTGGGGTCGGAGGACTCATCTCAGCTGCATGCAGCAGGCCTCTCTGTTTATATTCTGCTAATGATAATAAGCACCAACAATTTAGGTATCAACTATACGCACCTTTTCCATATGCTCCATGTTTACTTTTAGACTCATAACAATGCTGATGATGAGTTTTATTAGACCAGTTGACAGGTAATGAAAGTGAGGTTCAAAGACAGTAGACAAAGTGGTAGAGTTGAATACAAGCCTGGTGTTTCTCCATCCTGTCAGTCTGCCTCCTGATTTTGCTAGTTTGCTCATTCATTGATGCATCTCTGTATATCCCAGCTTATGACACACAGACTTTGGTATGGCTTATCGAAGTAAAAATAAATGAATAGTGACTGTCAATATTAAAAATTTTAGGAACAAGGTTTAAAAACTAGAACAGAAAATTAAGATCAAGAGAAAACTGAGGCAAAAGATCTAGCAGATCTAAGGTTTGATACAGCTGTTACAGTTGAAACCAGATTGTGGCTCAAAGCTTCTGGTTGTGAAAGAGGAAAAAAAAAAAAAGGATGGTGCAACAGAAAGTTCTAGACTGGGAACCTGGAGAGCAGGTGTATTGCTACTTTTGTGCCTTTGGGCATGTCACTGTATTTCTGTAAGCCTCAATGTCCTTGTCTATCTAAGGGTAGGAGTCATGGAAAGGATTTGATGGCACATATACTAAAATACTACACCTCACAACATTCGTAGTGGTTTTGTGCAGAGTCCTGGAGCAGAGTCCTGGTGTTGGCTCCTCCACCACAAGCATGTGACTTCTCTGAGACTCTGTTTTGTCACCGGCAACACGGGTGCATTGGCTTGGTGAGCAGTGCACGCCCTTCTAGTTCTAGCTTCCAGTGACTCTGCCCCAGCTCGCTTTCCTACCTCAAACATCTAGAAAACACTGACGGTGCAGCCATATCAGAACCCAGACACACCTGAGCATGCGTGGGCTTGTTTGACACGATTCAGGGAAGGTGTCCTAGTGACTCAGCCTGTGCCTTGACAGTCGGTAAGAGGGAAGAAAGGGCTCACGGTACAGTGAGCTTGGCAGTTTTGTTACGGTCACAGGCGATAAGGATCACTGCATGGCCAATACTGTGAATTGTCAAAAAAATAAAATCTAATCTTAATGCAATTAGATTCTGTCATTTCAGCCAGGCTTAAGATGCTGTTCTAAAAAGGACTGCCTTACATGTATATATGCAACCTACTTGCACACAGGCTATATTATCTACCTAGTAAGGGGCATCTCTATGAACTTTAACTCACAGGCTTTCAATGAAGAATAATAAAACAAAAAATGAACTGCTAAAGAAATAACAGCCGTGCATAAATAAGCATCTTTCAAAATAAGTATCTCTCTTTCAAAGAACTTATGTGTCAGCTACAAATAAAAGAAGGAAGTTTAAGTTCTTTGAGGACAGGGAATATGTCTTCATCATCCCTTCACCCCTCATGGTGTCTAGGACATGAGAGACATTTGGGAATAGTTTTTGAGAATGAAATGAACAAAATAGAGACCATTTAGCCACTGTTCTGTTTTAGAGCAGGATTTTGCAACCTTGGCACTATTGACATTTGGTGCCAGATCATTCTTTGCTGTGAGGGTCTGGTGCTGTGCATTGCAGGATGTTACCCCTGGCCTCTCCTCACTAGGTGGGAGCAACATGCATCCCCTTTTTTAGTCTTGAGAACCAAAAATTACTCCAGGCATGGCCAAATGTGCCCT